TTTCCCTTTTCACTGGATGCCCTTTTCACTGGATGTTATTATAAATCTTGGTTTGATTTTCTAGCATGAAAATATATTTTTTGTTAAATTTTCATCTACATGTTTATTCTCACGAGTCATGATATTTGATTTTTTTTTTTCTTTTAATGTTTTTTTATCTAGTTGGTAAGTTTTTAAACTGGTGTCAATGCATAATACTAATTTTATGACATTTTAACAATCTTTTCAATGAGTATGAAATTGAAGCTCTCTCTCTCTCTCTCTCTCTCGCGCGCGCGCGCGGGCGCCAAAATACTCATCTGCTTGACCTTGGGTTGTATTTGTCTAGTAGTTCTCATTAGTTTCTTTCTTTGTTTTGCTTTAATTGAACAAGATTATATAGTTGTCTTCTCATCTTTTGTATAGCATTAGATGCCCCTTAATTTTGTGGAACTCCTAAACAAGTTGTTACACTTTAGGCTTTCACTGCTTTCAAATTAACATCTTTTAGTTGCCGTCCTTAATAAGTTAGAATTTAAGTTCTTTGTTGCCATGGTTATTTTGCATTATTCAAATTTCTAACTTGCATGCAAGTTAGATGATTGTGTTCAGTTTTGGCCTAATACATCTTGTTTTTGTGCCTAGATGGGCCATAACAGTATTACCAGAAAAATGTTAACACCCTAGCGATTTACTTTTTCGAACACGTTTCGAAATATGGTACACTTCCATTCTAAAATGGTGAATTTAAGGGATTCCCAAATATTTTTGTCCATATATTTCCTTAAAGAATTCCTTAAGAAGCAAAAAATCTAATATAAAGAACTTAAAGAGTGGATTTTTGGCATGTCAAACATAAAAAAGAAGTTATAACGGTTCTAGAAATTTGTTGTTACATAAGTAATTTTAAAAATAAAACTAAAATCGTGAATGGAATAATTGTTAAAAGAAAATTGCAGTAGAAGTACCTTTAATTGTAATAGTGTAATTTGTATATTTTACTCCTATCATACCACATTTTAGAGCCATGTTTCTGTTCTTATACCAAAACGATCAATGATATAGGCAACGTAGGGCTAGGAAGTCCATTCTAAATAGCCTACTTGTTTAAGAACTTTTTAAAAAGTTTGACGTGTACTTTCTACTTTCTTTGTCTCATGGTACCTAATTAATGTTTTGTATTTTTCTGTAAGTTGTAGAGTTTTCTGCACTTTTTTCCTTTTTCCCTTTATTTTGTTCTCAAATGAAGGTTAGATGCAGCTTAAATGCAACTCTTATTTGTTTTTGCAGTATTCCATCTTATTTTTATTATTGGATAGGCTAGAAAGTGCATCCAATGTCCCTACTTATTTTAGAACATTTTATGCAACATTTGTAGACTTATCTTTCTAGTGTATGTTATATGCTTCTATAGTTGTACTATCTTCTTTACCATGTTGCTTAAAATCTTGGTTTATTCAATTTTTTAGATCTATATGCACCTTTCTCCCCTTTTCCATTTCAATATTTGATTATTCAAATCTTGCGTTGATGGGAGCATTGGCAAATATGTTATGTACCCGTATATATATGCAAACCACATTGTTTATATGCCTGCGATGTACCATTTTAGAGTTTGTTGAATGCTCGATACATGATGCTTTTATGAACAGTACAAAAGAGAAGAGCACCAAGGGGGCGCCACCCTATACATAAGGTTGCAAATGAGTTGAGTTGAGTCGAGTCGAGTCGAGTCGAGCTGAGTTTTGCTAAGCTTGAGTTTGTTTATTGAGCTTGAGCTCGGATCGATAACTAATTGGGCTTGGGCTCGGCTCATTAATATTAATGGAATTCGAGCTCGACTCAGCTCGATAAGATTATTATTATTATTTTTTATATTATTTAAATAAAAAATATTAATTATATTATTTAATACAAAAATAATGTATTTATGCTATTATATGTATATATTTATTATATAATTTAGATAAAGACAAATTAGCCGAGCTTATTTGAGCTCGAGCTCGGTTCGTTTACTAACGAGCGTAATATTCGAGTTCAAGCTTGGCTCGTTTACTATACAAGCCAAACCGAGCCAGTACACAACCCCTACACTGCAATCAAAAAGAAAAATAAAAGGAGCCTACAGACTTCTATACTCCCACTCATAAACAAAATGCCAAAATGGGATCCACCCTTTCCACCAACTAGGGTTCGTTTGGGAATTGGCTTTTTTAGTGGCTTTTTACTATAAGACGTGCAAAAAAGTCAACCCATTCTCTCTATTTTTTTGCACATCTTTTTTTTTGTAAAAAGCAAAAAGCCAATTAAATTGGGGTTTGAAAATTATTCACCACTTGAGTAAACGAAAATATAAATGGTTCCACACTCAACAAACTGGGGTTTGTAAATTGTTTACCACTTAAGACCTTAGGCTGTGATGTTTACTTTTCATCTGTGGTTTGTAAATTGTATGTTAGCTTTGTTGCATGAATGGTTTCAAAGGAGCAATTTTCCATTCACACAAGGTAATTTTGTCCACATGCAAGTTGTTTGGGTATATCTGATTTACATAGATAAAGCCTCCACTGCCATGGAAGATCTGTTGATGATTGCCTTTGTAAATGGTCTGTTTCTGTTTGGATCTTAATTAGCCTTTTTGCTTCCTTCACAGCTTGGTAGCACCTTAAGCTATAATGTTTCCCCATTACATATCTGCTTACCAGTAACATTTACCTGGTCAGTTGGTCCACGACTCTTTTGCAATTTTAGAGGAGCTATGTTGCTCATGTTATGTAATCTAGCAAAAGATAACACAATTGTCCCATAAGTTTATTTAAAGCTTAGAAAATTGATGACCTGTTTCCATTATGACATAGTTTGACATATTGCCACACTGCTAGCAGGTCTTCTGATTGGGTCCTTAAACTACTAAGTTGTCTCAATATGTGGTCTGGAAAACGATGTGGATGTTGAGATGGATAGTCACCTTCGATATGATCTGTAGGACCTTAAATTGGCTTTTTTGGTCTCAAATTGTGATTGTCCTGATACACATTGAATGACCATGCTGTTTCCTTATTATTATTGCGTTGTCTTCTTCAGTCCACTTGGAAAGCTATATTATATCACCAGTCAATGCTTACCACAATATTTAAACTAACATTTATGCATGTGGTAGTGTCTTTCCCAACCATAGTTGCATCAATGGATGGAAACAACCTTATTTCTAGGCAGATTGCTGCCCCATTGCCATATTACGTTGGTTGATAGCCGCCTTAATACATAGAAACTGTTATGGTTTTCTTTCTTAATAATGTTTATTTATTTTGTTGCTGAGCATAAAAAAAAAATCCTCTCATGTGTGGTTTGAATGGCTCTAAATATGTAATGTTGCGTGAAATACTATGTTGAATTAATTTCTGGCAGGTTGGTAAATTATTAAGCTTATGCAATAAAATTTTCAAGCTTTTAACAAGATCGTGGATTCCGTAAATTGCTATTAGTTTAATCACATTTTGGTCATATTGGAGCTCCTTTTCTTTGCTTGCGGTAATCTAGTCATTACATATGTTCATGCATAAGCCAAACCCATGGTGGGGGGAGGTGGCAGAGGTGGACGGTGGGAGTTGTGAGAGGGGTGGATGGTTTAGGGTTATTGTATTCTTAGATAGGAGATGAAGATGAGGGTGACCTTGCCTTTTCACATTAAAACTTGACTTTGGCTAATTATTTTTCTTCCTAAATCTCAAAATAGGCGCAAGCCACATTCTGTCAGTTTGGACAGAATATGTAACACCATCTCCAATGGAGATGTTAAAATTGTGTGTTAGTGTTAATGACAAAAATTGTGTTTGTGGGTTGGATTGGATATGTTAAATTGTGTGTTGGTAAGAGCGGGGTCCACTTATGTATGTGTAAATATTAAAATAAATTATAAAAAAAATACGAAAAGTGCAGTGCGTCTATCAACAACTCTCTCTCTCTCTCTCTCTCTCTCTCTCGTTAGTGGCCTTGCCACAGTTAACAATGAAGCTAACATGCGAGTATGTTAACAATATTGTTAACAGCTCCATTGCAGCTTTCAAAATCTAAGCTGAGGAAAAAAAACAAAACAAAAAAAAACAAACAAAAACAAAAAGTATCCTTGCCTACCTATAATTTTAGGCCAAATAGATCTTTGGTGACACTGTTGCATAGTTATTCCTGATGTTTATCATTTCATTTTGCTTACTTTCTTTCCAGTTCATTTGCCCCAAATAAATAAATAACGTCACAGAACTTCTATTCTGCCCTACTGGGCTGTTTGTAGTTAGTATGCTGAGTTGTTCTGAAGAACCTATCACTAGACATGTGACCATCTGGGGACAGCCTTCTAAGCATTCAGATCGTGATATGATAGATGTGTTTGCTTATATTTAACTGTGCTTTCTTAGCTCTATTTAAAATCCTTGTTGGTTTTTGAGATTTAATAACTGCCTTGATAATGTGATTTATTGGACAGCTGCTCCGAAATTTTGCAGGCACAGGGACAGCAATCTAGTTGTTTCTCCCATGCAAGGCACAAAGTAAGGGGGGATCCAGGTTTTTCTTACTGATTCAATAATTAAGGATTCTATGTCTAGTAGATATTGTTCAAGGCTTGTAGCAAACCATTTAATATAAGATTTATCTTGTCTGATCAAAATACTGTAATGTCCTTATTTTTTAGGGGTGTTTTCAATTTTTTTTTTCTTTTTTTTATTGTCTTTTTTAATTTGGTGGAAGGAAATAGAAAATGTTTGGATGCTGTTGGTGAATTTCTGAAATAGTATTGTTTATCTTTTGTACATTTAACTCTTTTATATAAGCATTGTTATCTGAAATTTGAGATAGACTGTAGAAACTAGTAATCTATTGCTGGCATGCATCAACAGTGTGCATTAGTGGGAAGAGGGTTTTTTTGTGTCCTCCTGTGCTTTGTTGGGTAGACGATAACCTGCTCGCTTCCCTTGTCTCTCACTTTTGGATTATTCATTGTTTCTATTTTTGGATTCAAATTCTTGGACAATTTGTTTGAATGGTGGTGCATGCTCCATTTGTTTTTGAGGAAAACATTTTCTTAAGGCATCAAATTTTCTTTTAGTTGTGATTTTGAAAAAGATGTGCTAGTGGTTGTAGCAGTGGCGGCGGCGGCGGCGGTGGTGGTAGAGAGGACGTGGTGACAGCAAAAAACAGATGGGCAGTAGGATAGTTGTGGCAGTGGCACTGGTGGTGGTGACTATGGAGGCATTGTCGAAGGATTTTGACCTGGAAACAATATTCTCCCTCTGAAATGCAAGAGTTTTTTTGCCAAATTAAGTCATTTTTCATTAAAATGCTTTCCAATGACTTTGTTCTGTTGGTGCTTATGTAAGAAAATATTAAAAACACTTTCAAAACATATTTTTTATTGAAATAAATGGAGCGTCAGAGAAGAACACTGGTTGAGGATTGGTACTGAAAATGAGTAATATTACAAATTCAATCGTATCAACTTAGAAATTAATTTTCATTACACTCCGTATGGATTTCAAATTACATATATTAATTATTATAATACAATCATCCATCCAAGTAATTTTAGGTGGATAATTCTGGTTACCAGACTTTCCCGTTGAAGAAAGGAAGCAGTGACTCAGGCTAACATGGCTTTAATACCAAATTTACAAGGGATGAAGAAAGCACTATTGGCTGAAGTTTAAAATGTTGCTAACTATTCAAGTTGAGCCTTGGTTGGGGGTGGATGATGGCACTATAGAGTCAATTCTTTTTTTTTTTTTTTTTTTTTGGGGCTCCGTCCGGCCCGAGGAAACCTGGCAGCACCACCAGATCTAGTTTTTGCTCTTTTTATTTTTTATTATTATTATTATTATTGTTATTGTGCTTGATTTGTAGATTTGATTTTTGATTTCCAGTGATTAGTAGGGTGGCCGGAAAGGGTGTTCGTTTGGCAATGTAATGGTGGGATAGTAGCAAATTGGTGGATAGATTGTCTTGGTTTTAGTTACTTTGAGTCTGTTGATGCTAGGGGTGAACATGGTTCGGATTAGATCGGATTGGGGGTAAAATCAAGACCAATCCGTTATTTACGGTTCCTGAAAAATTGGAACCAATCCAATCCGTTTAAATTATGGAACCAATCCGAACCAATCCATTTAAACACGGATTGGATTGGTTTAGGACTACGGATTCACATAATTAAATAATAAAAAAATGTATATATAACACTTTAATTTCAAAAAACATAAACATAGCGCTATATTAGTTCCACAATAGCAACATGTCTTTCTATAATAGCGACATACTGTTCTAGAATTTAAACAACCATAACAAAATTAGTTTCACCATAAATATTTAAACCATTACAAATTAAAACTAAAAACTAACAAACAAAAGTTATAAAAGAAGATATTATGCGGGTTTAAGTTTGAGTTTAGGTTTTATATGGAATAAGAGAAGATACTATGGGGAGGATGTATAATAAAAATATAGACTATTTGTATATGGTTCGGATCGGTTCCAATCTGGAACCGTGGGGTTCAATCCGGAACCAATCCGTGGACTACGGATTTTTAATTGTTCAATCCGGAACCGAACCACGGATTCAAAAAACTAATCCAAACCTATCGGATTGGACTGGACTGGATCAGATTACGGATTTCATGGATTCCTTGCTCAGCCCTAGTTGATGCGTTTTATTATAAGTTAAAAGTTAATAACCATAATTAGAAATAAAAAAGAAAAAATCATTTCCTGACTTTTGAATAATTAGTTTTTTCAGCATATTTACTTTATTTTTATCTCATAAGTTACAAGAAAAAATTACATCAAATAATTTAACACATTCTAAAATAAAACAAATTATAAATAACTCAGGTAAATTGCACAAAGCAATCTTCTTTATTGTGTTCGATGGCAGTTGAGGAATGGTTGTGGGGGAAGAAAAAAATAATGGTGACTATGGGCAAAAAACAGTAAGCGGATGTTTTTGATACTGGTGCAAAGTAGTTTAATGAAAAATCTCTAAAAGGGACAGAAAGTGTGTTGTGAAGGAAAAAAGGGTACCGAGAGCATTTTGTCATTTCTTACGAAAATCTTATGTAATTGGATATATTGATCTGTCCAAACCGATTAAATTGAATTAATTTGTTACATTTTAGACGGATGCGTGATGACGAGCGAACGGTTACAGATTGATTTTTTCTAATCTGTCTAGTTTTGGATAGATGACGGATTTGAAGTTCCTTTAACAACAACCGAATCGCCAAACCGTGAGCACCCCTAGTAATTTATAAGATTTTGTGTTTTTAATTTGTTTAAATATTCTATTTGTGTTTTCATTTAAAAAAGAGTTTAAATATTCTGTTGAAAAATAGTTTTCAACTAGAATATATTTTTTGAATTGAAAAAAATAAATGTATTATTTATCTATATTTTTTGCTTTTTAAATCTAACTCTAAAAATAATAAATAAAAAATATGATATATGCTGGTTGGTTTTTGTTTTCAAAAACAAATATAGATGTAACAATACAGAGGCATACAATCTCTACTACTGCTCTGTTCATGGTTTTGGTGGTTTGAATTTGTTTTTATATTTTAAGAACCATAGATTGTAATACTTTATGTGGATGAGGCATGCTGTGATTGTAATATGTGGAATAAGACATGCAGTAATTGTAATACTTTTTTAAGTCATTGACTGTAATACTCTTTTTTTTTTTTTTTTTTTTTTTGAGGAAGTGCACAAGTTGAACTATATTGAAAATTTATAAAATTTCAAACTGCCAAACCGATTCGCATCCATCCATCAAACCGCCAATCCGCTTAATCCGCATTCGCCGGATTGACGGACGGATGCGGATTAATTTTCTCCAATCTGTCAATTTGGTGGACTGTAATAACCCCGACCTCCGATTAATGCTAAACCATGATTATTTATGCCTAACAGTAATTTAGAAGGAATCCGGAATTAAATTGCATATGTATTGCATTATCTTTGTGTTTTTATCTGTTTGCCATTTATTGCAATAATAATCTCAAGTAAAATTATTAAAAATGATATCAATAATTTTGGGATAACCCACTTCACAATTAAACCCACATACCTATTACATCATAAGTTAGGGTTTATGAGAGCACCTACCTCCATCACAACCTATCCATCTTCTCCAAATCTCACCTTCAAAACCTACCCACCCTCAAAACCTTAAAATCCTTTGGCCACAATATTCTGGTGACAACGGTGGCAAGTATTTAATTACTACACTTCTCCACCAATGACAATAAATAAAATTTTTTTCGGTAACCACAACTCCATGAGATGAGAGAAGTACAACAATAAAAGTTTATAAGAGGTTCATAGCTTTGATGTTGTTCTTATTTCAAAGAAGATTGGCCTTGTAAGAGTAAGTTTCTTGAAAAAAAAAAAATGACAAAAATAATAAAAATTATTCATCATTTTTTTGGGATTGAACTCCCAAACATATTATCAAAATTTGGAAATACAGGCTTGAACATTGTTTATTTATTCAGGAACATGTAACTGAACATTTCTTATTTGTTCGAGAACAGATAACCGAAACAGCAGTAGAAACAAACAAACAAAGAAGGTTAGACCACCCTTGGGTAGTCGATCAGGGCTGAAATCCTGCCCAGTTTTGCTCACACAAAGAGCATACAAGTATAGTGAGGCCATGGATGAATGATAGAAAACCAACCAGAGAAGCATGGAAATGGATTATGTTGTGTGCGTTGTAGACACCCCATTTTTGACCGACCTTAAGACTCAGACGTCATCGTTTGTGCACTCGGTGATTGTGCATGTTTGTGCTCGTTTTGAGTTTCTAGAGCCTTTGGCTGAGCGCCTTGTCTCGGGACGTCTTAACTTTCTCCTCTTAGCCTGGTTTTTGGACCATGCCTTGCTGTCTTTGCCTAGAGGGAAACAAAGGCCTGTAGGCCACTTTTTGTAGCCGTAGGCTACCTTTCCCTCTCGTAGGCCACTTGTAGTGGCCCGTAAACTAGTTTTCGGGATTTCCGACTGAGTGCCTTGTCTTGCGGACTCTTGTCTGTCTTTCTTTTTGGTTTATTTTTGAACCAAACCTTGTTACCCCTTGCCTGGAGGATGGAACAGGGGTGTAGACCACTTTTCTCCCCTGCCAGCCAGTTTCTCCCCTGTAGACCACTTTTGGTGGTCGGTCAGCTAGGGTGGGTGGTCGGTCGACCAGCCTAAGTGGTTTATAGCCTGCCACCACGTTCTCCTCTCTTTGTAGACCCTTTTTCTCCCCTGCCAGCCAGTTTTTTCCCTTGTCAACCACCTGGGATGGTCGGTCAACTAGTGGCGGTGGTCGGTCGACCGCTTTAAGTGGTCTACGGCCTTTTTTCTGCTTTTGCAAATATTTTTGGTGCCAACTGTGCCAGCTGTTGGGCATATAACAGTTGTTAGGCACAGAATGCATCCTCCCTAGGGAGGGATTCAAGCAAGCTTTAGCTTGCATATTCTATATAAGAGGAGTTCTCTCCCCCTTCCAAGGGGTTCAGAATTTTGAGAAGCCAAAAATATCTACTCTCTCTCTAGATTTCTCACTCTCTCTATATTATTGTGCCTTATAGTGCTTAGAATTGCATTTTCTTCACACTTTTGCACACAACCTCTTAGCCAAACACTCCTACTTTGTTGCTGAGGTGCTAAAGGGTCTTAAGGGAGCTTCAAAAAGCTGGTTTTTGGCTCAAGAAGTTGTTGTTCTTGTTGTTCTTCAAAGGTGAGTCCTATTCCCTCTTTAAAGCTTTGTTTTGGTTGCATATTTGGCCACCTTTACATGCTACTTTTGGCTTAACTCTCAAATACAAAAACC